GGCGGGGAGGGGAAGGCGGAAGGCGGGGTCGGCGTGTCCCGAGGCCTGTGCGGCCACCCTGGGCGCTTGTGGCCCCGCGGACGCGGACGCCGCCTCCTTCTCCGCGGCCCCAGGCTGGTCCTCCACGCCCACTCCCCAGACCCCTCCCGTGGGCTCCGCGCGGCCACCTGCACCAGCGGGTCCCAGCAGGGTGTCGCCTCCGGGGCCTGTGGATCCTTCGGGGCCTGCCCGTTTCCGCCCCGGGACGCTGGGGGTGGGCTTGGAGGTTTCCACTCTAGAAGGCCTCGCCCTGAGAGGGAACACTAGGGCAGGAGGTCACTTTCCCCAACGACTCCAGACTCAGCCGAGCCTGGCCGCGCCTCCTCCTCCCGCCTGCAGCACCCCCTTCAGCCCAGCCTGCACTGAAGACCCAGGGAGGTCACAGCCCCTGCGTGGAGCTACGCCAGGGCTAGGGGTACCCGGCCGGGGCAGCCAGATCCTGGCCCTGAACGGGGTGGCCCAGCAGGAAGAGCCAGCGGGTCCTCACTGTTGGGCCAGCCCATTTGGCTGTGTGGAGGGGGACAGCCCAAACCTTGGGGGAAATGTGGGCTCCCCCTATCTCTGCCTCCCCAGGGTCAGAGCAGGGCTCCCCTCTAAGAGAGTTGGACTGGGGTCCTTGCTCTGCCACCGGTACACTGTGACCCTGGGTGTGTCATCCCCACCTCATGTCCCCATCTGTGAAATGGGAGCAGTGGCAAGCCAGGCCCTCCTGGTCCCAGGGCGGGGGCTGCAGCTCTGTGAGGGTGCAGGGGAGGGACCACCCACCGGCACTAGCCACCAGCCCCTGGGAAATGGAAGCTGCTGGCATCTTGCCTGGAGGTAAATGACCTCCCACGCACAATGGAATCAGGACCCTCCTGTGGATCCGCGGCCCGCCTGCATGTTGGCACCTGCCTGGGAACGGGGTGGGGGGTTTCGGGGCTGCTGCCAGGGCCTCTCCTCTTACACCCCTCCCGCATTCTGGATCTTGGCTGGGAGGTTGCCTTATCCTACTCCATACTGCAGATGAGGAAACTGAGGCCGGGGCACGACCCCAGCTCTCCACTGGGGTGGGTGGAGCCACTGCACACCTGCTAACCGGTCCCGCCTGCAGGGAGGGCACAGCACCTCCAAGCCTGCACCCAACAGCGCTAGCCTTGGCTTTATCTGCAGGCCACACTCCTGCGCTGATTCCCATCCCTACACAGGAGCGTGACCTTGGAGGTGCTCCTGCCAGACTGTCAGGGGTCAGAAGCCCTGGAGGGACATCTTCCACACCCTCGTCAAAGCTGCCTTAGGCAGGGATGGTCAGGGGCCTGCTGAAGCGCAGACCCGGGTGCACTGGCTCCAGCAGCCCTCAGCAACCCACCGTCCCTGCCATGCCATCCTGCTTGGACAGCGGCCTGAGCTGGGGCAGGACGGGGGCAGGGAGGGGGAGCGTGTCCACTGGGACCCCCGCCCAGCCACCAGCAGGCTCCTTCGTCAGCCTGGATCAGCCTCTCTGTGACCATGGTCCCCTAGAACCTGGCCGGGCTCGGCCGACGTCAGGAATGGATTACAGGGGGCTCTCAGCCTGGGAGTCGGGGCTGCACTGGGGTCTGGGGTCAGGGAGCAGCAGCTGGCTGGCGCTGAGGGGGGCGGGACGGGTGGGCACAGCACCCTCCTTCCCTGGACCCAGATGAGCAGGTCTTTCCCCAGCGGGGCGCCCTGCGGGCAGAGGCACAGCCATTCAATCTCAGCTAAGCCCAGACTAGGGGCTGCAGTGGCTGAGATGGGGACGTTCCCTCTGACCGCCTGGGCGGCTCCTTAGGGTAGGTCTCCCGTGGGACCTTCTCAAAACCCCAGCAGCGCTGGCCTGTGACCCACAGGGGTCTTTGTGTGGCCATGGAGACCAGAGGGCCCTGGAGAGGCAGTAAGGGAAAGCCACTGGGCCAGGCCATGTCTCAGGTTCACCTTGCCCACAGCCAGGCTCAGGAACCGGAGTGGTTCCTCCCGAGTGAGTCTCTGGGTTGTGGGGGCAGGGGAGGTGCCCAGCCTGTGTCTCCTCCCCCAGGAAGAGGAAGGCGGAGTCAAAAATAACCCAGCAACTTCTGGGACAGAGAAGGGCCAGGATCCCCAACACCTGGATTCCAAGTTGGGGAGACATCTGGATTCACCGAGAGGGGCCAGGCCAGCCCCGCGGCAGCAGGGAAGGGCACCAAGATGTCCCTTTAAAATCACTGCACGAGAGTGGGCACCTGTCCAGTGGGTAACCCCAACCCAACCAGGACCCGGCCTCAGGGCCCGTCCTCACGTGGGGGGAGCAGGACCCAGTGAGGGGTGGGAGGAGGTGGCTCCCAGCAGAGGGTGGAGGGTGGACCCCCCCGGAGTGTGGGTGGGATGAGGGCGGACCCCCCAGTGAGTGTGGGATGAGGGCGGACCCCCCCGAGTGTGGGTGGGATGAGGGCGGACCCCCCCGGAGTGTGGGTGGGATGAGGGCGGA